ATAAAATAAGTACACACGCAATCCAATCATAGATCAGTGCTATTATTCTAGTATCCATTCAAGTAGAATTAATTCTGACTTCTCAGTCGACTATTTGTTTGGATTAAATTGCTTTGGCGTGTTGGTTCAGGTTCGATTCACATGTACCTTCGTGAACGAATCCATAACTGTAGAACATTTTTATAATTCACTTATTACGGCAATTGCAATGTAACAGTATATTAATAAAATAAAAATAGACGCCTAGCGTATTAAATTAAATTGATAGATTATTGCTTTTGTTCAAAGTAAACTTTATTTTATCTACAAACATTATCATTATTTATTGGTACTGGTTTAGATTGTTGTAACGTGTTTCTAGATCGGAAGTAACTGTTAGCGGTTCTTAAATTGCTTCATAAAATATAAAATAATAAATAAAATAATAACTGTAAAGTGAAATTGCAGGTAAAAGCACCTATTCGTTCTTGTAATAAACGGTTTCAATCAGTTCCTTGTGTGATAATCCGATGATATTAATTGCTTTATAAATCACCGTCAATTGAATGCTGACGATATTATAGGTATCTACATATAAATGTACGGTCTTTAGCAGGTTTTCTTTCTCGCTTTTGAGGCGGGCATGTAGCAATTCCAAACAGAATCTCGGTGGCAACAAATTAGACTAATTTGTCGAGACGGTCAGATATCGGTCGTCAAGTGTGCAAAAACTCGTCGGAGTCGAATGCGAAATTGGCCGTCTCTATCTCTAGAATACCGAACAGGAGAGAGGAGACAATGGCTTGTTCTCGCGAATGCCTCGACCCGTTCTGTCTGACGGCATTTTATTTATCCCCGCGGGAACGGCTTTTCGGTTCCAATTCCGAAAGAGGCACGAACGGCCGCACCCGTCTTCCCCGGGGATCCTGACGACATTTGAATTATGCTAATGTGAATTACTGAATTACGCCGCGCGATTTACGATTGAACATCTCTTCCATATTTGATTAAGCGAATTCGAAGGGGAATTAAAGCGAGGTCGACGTTTACTGTTTTAGACTGACCTTTCCAAATGTGATCTATAATTTATTCCGATTCGCGTTTAAAATTGTGATCACATTTCATAATTAGAAACAGATCATGGAGTAGGTACAAAAATAGTGGATATTGACGGGTGTATTATATTAATTTTGTATCCTGTTCAAATTTGTATAATCGAAAATAATCCAAACATTTTTGATCACATATTTCGAAGAAGAATTTTGCATTTTGGCTATTGAAAGCTTTATAAATTCGTTGAAGTTTTATGGTATATCAATAAGTACCCAATTGCTACTATTTCGTTAGTACTATCATCGTGATCAATGCTTTATCCCCTCCAGTCTAAAAAAAAGTTGCAAAAAAGTAATTCGCACTTCTTAACAAAACTGTAACGTAACAAGATTTAAAATTATATTCAAATTCGTTAGATATGACTAACTCTAACTGGATGAAAGATAATAGGGACTAAAAAATTTGTCATTAAATAACTATGACTAAGAAAAATGACTAGACATTCTTTCTTTCCGCAAATAACACGATCCAGACCAGCACCCATCACTACATCAGACTTGAAGTTTTCGACACATAATTCCTTTGGCACTGTCTTTAAACCCTCTTTTTCTTTGTTACATGTTCCAAAAACAGGATCAATGCGTATACTCCTCATCACATACAGGTAAGATCTTCAACTCATTCTCCAGCGCTACACAGCTATTCCTCTCCTGTCCGGAAATACTTTCAAGGTCACAAACACTCTCTACCAAACCCAACTCCACAAGCTTAGACTTTATGAACTCGTGTCCGGTCATCATAAAGCCTATACAGAAGCTGGGCTTAAACTACGGCCAATGTTCTTCCTTTACCTCTTTCATGTAAGCATACATAACTCTCCATTAATCAGATTCGGTTTACCTTTACTGCCAGAACCTCCCCGTTAGGTCCCTCTTCACTCGCTTCCTTTCTTTCCTTCTCCACCCAGCGATCATACCTATCCTCTCCTCCACACAACTAAACCAATATACTAGGTACGCCCTCATTATAACCAAGTCCATCGGAAGCTTGAGAGTCAGAACCTGTAATGCATCATTTGACATAATTCTAAGAACTGGCACTATCTCTAGCAAAATTAACCTTTGCATGGCAAGCAGCTTCCGCCGGAATTGGCTGTTCGTAGCTTGATCTCCCAATACTTGACATCCGTGTAATATCACCATATATCACGCACAGGAGGTCTAAATCCCCTCTCACACCGCATCATCCTTTTCAATATCTTCAGGAACCTAAACAAGTTTCCCTCCACATAGTTTAGAAAGGAACTGTTTTCATCCACAATCACTATCAGATACTTTACTTTATTCCTGGACGTCATAAAAACCGTCCCATATTTATTGTAACTTAAGCCCTCCAAAGGTTTAGGGCAAATGACCTTGATGAACCTTTGTATTGCTCAGGTCTCTCATTCCTTTATGTCAGTAGGTGTCAGGTAAACTTTTCAAAAAATTTTCAGAGTCTGACTTCTCATTGCAAAGTCGACAAGTTTGATCCTCAACTTGTCCAAATGTTAAATGTTAAGGAGATGGTATTTTAGGGGCGTATGGCCGGTCTGGAAACTTGAGAGCCACCTTCAATTTCCTTTCCTGAGGCATAAAGCTTCTTTGGTTTTCTTTTGCGACAGAGTTATCATACTCTTCGCCTGTTTGTGTCCTGGAAGTTTTTTCCAGTAGAGGCTACCTTTAAGATCTCCCATGTATTAATCACCTGTTTTAAGTCCCATACCTTACTAGCGGGTTACACTTCAAATAATACCTCCATCCGCGGATTCCTCACCCTATCCGTTATGCTTTCCATCACTCACGCCTTTTTTTCCTCCAGCTATACCCTACTGCATCCTTTAACCAACAGCAATAAATCGTAGACCTAGACCTTCCTCTGCAATCTCGAACATCCCGTCAAAAGCTAGGTATTCAAAAAAAAAGTTGTTAATTTTTTCAAAACTATTATATGGGTTGCTCAATGTTTCGGGTTGATTAACTAGTTACACCAGCATCAAATGCATCTCGAGAAAATGATTGTTTTGATGTGAATTATCGTCTTGCGGAATCATCGGACCGTACAACATTACAAAAAAGCTGGCATTGCCATAATCGTCAACAGCGAACGATACAGATCAATGATAAGCAACATTTTGTGGTATAAACTGTATAATATACCACCGATCTTGATACCAACGATATGTAGTTCCAACAAGATAGCGCTACACGCCACATAGCGATTTGAGAGCATGATAATCTCGCGCAACTGTAACATGAACTGGTAATGAGATTGCGCGATCCAATGTATTTACATTTTTTTCTTTGGAAATATCTTAAATTGAAGATCTATACATAATGAGCGCCGTCCAGTAAATTTAGCCAGATTTATGAGACAAAATCGATCATCTCGATTTGTAAATTAACAAAGCTATATTCCTTACTTAATATGTGCTACAAAATGTTATGTTAATTAGATATGCTTATATTTATCCTATCTCTAGTACAAACCCAACCCATTGTCATAACTTATACTGTAGTAAAAGTAAATTTGAAAGAATTAGTGAATCATGCAATATTATACATGTGAATAAAGACACAACTAGCTAATAAAGAGATTTAACAAACTTGACACTTTTGTACAAATGAGGTGATGATGATAGAAGAAAATAGCTAAACTAAGAGATGCAATTTTTTTGTGATTTGTGATATGCAATCGAAAAATTCTTGATCATCATCTTCTCTACGTTATAGACTTGATGGACAAAAAGGAATATGCAGAATTGATAACAGAGGAAATGCAAAATCTTGAAAGTCAAATTATTGAAACTCAATCCACTTTTTTTATGATTTAAGAAGTAGCCAAGCAATACTATCACATATTTTCAACTTAATAATGATTGATGGATCTTTCCAACAGATTCACAGTTATTTAGATATGAACTTTCCAACTTTCGTGCTTGAACACAATGCATAGACTATTGTTTGCGTATTCCTTAATATTTAAATGTGACAGATTCGAGATTATCCCTTTAGATGTTTTTGTTATACAGCCTTTTGAACTATAACTTAATCGCATCCAATGTTTAACTCGCATATATCTATGATAATTTAGTGTGCAATATCAACTAAAGTATTTGGTATGTAAATTTTATTACTTTTTCTTACAAGTAATTGTAAAAATGCAAAAAGAAAAATGTTGGAGAATTGTTCTTGAAGAAATGCGGATAATTCATGGACAGTTTAAACCAACACGTCTTTCATATATTTTATTTCCTCTCTTTTCTTTAGGTGGAGCAATTCGTATTCCTCTGATGGCGGTTTTATTGTGAATATCAATCAGAGTCGTCTTTGCAGAGACAGGAAAATTGCGAGAATTACCGCGAGATATCACGGCAGCAGATGCGTGCCGTGCGGACTTCGGTACCCGTTACTTGAAAACGAATGTCCGCGTTTTTGCCGGTGTGACAGAGTAATTTTTACAATACGCCGCGACGCGATCGACCGGAATCGATCAGGTCGGCTGTTGGCTTCAAGAAGCAGCAGCTACGGTGGCAGCAAAAGAAGAAGAAGAAGGGTAAAGATGGACGTTGAACCGGCGGTGGCGACGCCACAGCACGTCCCCAGGAATATCAAACGCGCGCCGCGGCGGACCGTAAAAAGTGCGGTCACTCCTGGCAAATACGGACATATCGGCTCGGTAATGCGGCAAAGTTGCTCGGCCTCTTGTCGTCAATGATGTCAACGCTTCACTCTAGATTCAAGATCCCCTTCGTCACTTGACGGTACGTGCGTGTGCGGATCTAATGTGACGCAGAAGTTATCTCGACATGTAGCAAGAACTCTTAGATTTTATCCGATTACCATTAAATACGAACACTAATACAATATTCTTTATTGAGTATTTTCTTTTGAAGTTTTTTTGCCATTTTCTATAAAAAATAAACTTACCACAACTGGTCCATCCGTTCCGGCACTATGTAATGTGGCTCCAAACCATTGTTCGGATTTCTTGTCGATTACGTTATTATTTCTGATGGTATCACCTGCAACAAAAAAAAAGTGTATTTCATTAACATCTTAGCACCCTCTATTTTGTCCTTAAACTGATAGCTTTAATCCATCCTCATAAATTCAAGTTAGAAAAAAATAAATAAAATAAAACGAAACATTTTTTTACCCCATTTAAATCCCCCTAGTTTTCTATTCTAGGAATAAAAGGGGATCCCGCTGAGACCCCATCCTATTTATAGAAAGTGTCTTTTTCTCTGTAATGTGTTTTTTGCACTGTAAGCCGTTATATTAGTACATGAAGTATGTTCCCAGTAACTGATTTATGACCTCTACCATGAATCAGACCGCTTTTAAAGATCCCGGTGCTCTCAGTCGACACTTTTTGATTTGAGAGAAGCGATAAATCCGAATTAGAAACAATTCGCCTCTGACCATCCAGTTACTAAGTTCTCCGCAACCAAGTCGAAGATGGGTTCTCTGTCATCGCGATTACGGCCACTTAACTTCACTTAAAATAATGGCATCATAATTTTCGGTTTTAACGAACAGCCGCGATCGTCTCGTGGGGGTCACATTTAAAAGCCTATTTTGTTCTGATTTAGTTTACGGATGGGCTATTTATTTCATACGTAACATAAACGACGGCAACGGTTACCTAATAGATACGGTAATGGCTTGCGATAAGCATGTAGAAATTTCATTTTAGTTTATTGACAGTATTAATTCTACCGTTTATCTATACGTAAAATGTTATGGTTATCAACAACGACCGCAAATAAGGGTATTAAAAATGAATACTTTACGAGAGATCTTAAAATTTTTTTCAACTATTACGTCAAATCGATTTTCATTTCCCGTAGAATATTAATAGTTAATTGAAACTAACAGTTATAGAATAAATTTACTTCAACTAATAAGTAATTAATAATTTTATTTTCAAATAAACCCACTCAATTTCGTTTTCTTCGTTTATTACTTTTTTAATTTACAATCGAGTTATCCTCTTTTTATTAAAAACTCATTAAACCATTCGATTATAATTTATCCTCTATTTAGTTATGACTACATTTCCTGTTCATTCCCCTTTATAAGTTGTTAGAGTCCTCCAAGAAAAACTTTTTCGAAATGAAATTGCATCAGAGACCAAAATAGAAATAATCACATTCAAATCTCGTATAGACGGGTTCTGACTGTGAATCATCGCCCTTTTGCACGCGGACAATCGGAGGAACGGCTGAAACTACCGCATTACCTACGGTGGTCATTTTACGGTCAATAATTTCGATCCATTTCGCGGCGTTCGGTCGGCAATTACGTGGCGCCCGCTGCAAAGAGCGCCTAATCGGGACACGGTCGTCGAGTCGGATTGCGAAAATTGTTAATACGAAACCCACGGCACACCTACTTACAGAAAAAGAAAAAAAAAATTCCTTTGACGTTGTTGTTTAACGTTTGTCTCCGAACAAGCAAACAGAATCTTTTAGATTTGGTCAATAATGAGTTGGCGTTTAGTTTTGTAAAATTAGATACCTGTTTGTTAGCCAATGATGGTTTTAAAATGTTTATTTAAAATAAACAAGCAAGAAATAAATTGTATGTAGTAAACAATAGTTATGTAATATATGTAGAAACATACAGGTGTTCATTTGAAAATTTTGCGATTAGTTTTTTGAAATTAATGGAATCGTTTTTGAGATTTTTCTACTCTACTTTAGAAGGCATAATAGCCCCATAACACAAGAAATATCGTGTTTGCAAAACTTTGCCATAGAACAGCATAACATCAAAACTATAAGGATTCTTCTAGTAAATAAAACTAACTACGATCTAATGGTCCAATTAAGATTCCTGTGTTCCAACTACAGAACAATCACCCTGCTTAACTCCGCTTACAAGATATTATTTATCATCCTATGTGAAAGACTAAAAATGCCTATATTATACGAGAAAATATATAAAGAAAAATACACCTAATTCTGCTAGGACAACAAACACTGAAGGTGGAAAGTATAGTAAGAATACAAAATAGAACAATACCAAGATTCAGAATAAATAAAGGGTTGTGCCAGGGTGATACACTATCATGCATACCCTTCAACGTGGTACTTGAGAAATCATAAGCGTGCAAATACTGGCTTATGCTGATTACTTATGTTGACGTTATTGTAAAAAAAAATAGTGCACAAAAGTGAGCCAAAATTACACCTACATAAAATAAAAAGTATGCACGCAAACCCATCAACAGGAATCATCTGCAAAAGTCGGTCATAGAAGAGCATAACATCAAAACTAGAAGAATTCTTCTAGTAAATAAAACTAACTACGATCTGATGGCCTAATTAAGATGTCTCTTTGACTGGAAAAACAAGATGTCAAATATATAAAACCTTATTACGACTGGTTCTGAGGTATGGATCCTATACTTGGGTAATGTCCAAGAACGACAAAAGTGTGCTAGTAACTATTCAAAGAAAAATCCTGCACCACATATTTGAAACTCTATCTATAACTTTGAGCTACACACATATCCCCTTAAGAGTGTAACTCCCTCTTCTATTGCAAATATACCGTAATTACTTTCCAAGATTCGGTATACCACACATCATTACGCATGACCGGGGAAGACAATTTGAATCCCAACTCATCATCCTCAAAGCAATGGGATTTTAGAGAGATTCAATAAATCTCTTAAAACATCCATTGTTGCCAGGGGAAGCAGCAACAGGTGGAAAAGCGATCTTCCGATGATTATGTTGCGACTCAGATCTTCTCTCAAAAAAAGATTTGGGATGTTGTTCTGCTGAACATATATCTCTATGTTGTTCTGCTCATATGTCTCTTTTGAGACTTAGCCTTTAGCCTTTAATCAGTTTACGAGAAACATTTTCAAATATTAAACCAATTCATACGTCTCATCATTTGCCAAAAAAACCTTTTGTTCATAAAAAACTCTTTCATTCCGATTTGGTTTCTTAAATACTGAAGGTCTTCAATCTTCACATTCTCCTTAATACGAAGGATCATATAGTTATTAAAAAGTTGCGTTGCATTTGTGGATTGACTGAGGGACAAAGAAACTTTGAAGAGAATTACTAAAAAGGTGACGGTAAGATAAATGCTTAGAGGACGGTTCAAGACTAGATATATGCACTAGGTGGACGAAGACATTCCATCTTCCTTTATTAACTATAGAAGTAAAATGCGGAACATAACAGAATGGCGGAAACTATTAGAAGAGGCTAAGACCCACAGATAATTACATAGATTTGTAAATAAACATAATTGGAGATATTTCCGAAACGAAAACTTTGTCATGTGACTGTAACAGGATACATTCATTATTCTGAAAGAATTAATATATGTTCACGCATCTTGATCAAATTTACATATTTCGATAAACAATTTGACCTGACCTGATCAAAACGATTCTCAACGTAATTTAATGTGCTGAATTTGGAAAAAAAGGTTAATTTTATAGAATGATCAAAAAAAAACCATTAAGGGTGGCATGCTTTTTAAGTTTAAATTGGTAATATTGACATCTGACAACCAAAACCTAACCTAAAACTAGACATCACTTCAATTGTATTCAAAACGTAGTGATTGCATTTAAAAATTGGTAAAAATGCAGAGATAGCTAAGATTCAAAATAATACGTTCTGATCTCTTATTCCGAATACAATTCTTCAGCACCTTTCTAATTTCTTTGGATGAAGTTGGTGTGTGTCGCCTCGTTGTCACATCCTTAACTATGTCAATGTATTTTTTAAGTAGATCCTCGTAATTTGGACTGCATAGTTGTTTTACGGGCTGAAAGATTTCGCCTTGTCCTTGATCATTTATACCACACCAACGCGTGTCTGACGATAAAACAAAATACGCTGCGTCGAGGAATGACGTTTCTGGTGTCTTGCAAGGAAAGCTAATTCGCCTCTTGATTTTGCCTCACTTAGCCGAGGGTGCTTGCAGTTTTGCAAATTTCATGGCAACCCCAAACTGATCGTATGTTCTATTGCCATTTTGGCTCATTTACCTCATATATTTATTGTTTCTATACTTGCCGAGGTTGTTTGCGGCCGAGGCAGTTCTATAAATTCCAAATCAATCCAGAATTAGTGAGCACATGTTGGTGCCATTATTACATAGTGCGAAAGAACTGCATGTAAATGCTTCTTTGCCTGTGTTTTTTCTACTGGTTATAAGTATTGCTACAGATTTTAATAAATTAGCCAGCAATTTCAAGAATCTATTTGTGGACATCTTGGTAGTCAAGCGCAAATTCATTCCTCGCTGTGCATCAAGTCTCATCTCAATTTTGATGGCTATTTTCCTATAGATATTTTATTCCATACTTAATCGGAATCCAATCTACGGGAAGTAGAATATAACTCTGTTACTTTAAATAGAATGGTGTAGATATTTTACATACTTTGATTCTCCATATATAAATGTGTTTAATGTTCTTTAAATTTGCATTTTTCATACATCGATTAAGCAAGAAAGATTAATAGATTAGTACAGATGCTGAGATATTTCCGAATAAAATTATATCATCTTATGCTACACAGAAAAACTTTAGCCTATACTACCAGATGGGGTTGTATGGGCTGCTATTCGAGCCATCCAATCAGCTGAGGTTGGCATGAGTATTGACCTTATCGTTAAATTAAATGTTACCAAAATCATATAATTATTCCGAAAGGTTCTTGACAAAACCAATCTATGCAATATAATTAGTTGCTTTTAATTCTGCACCAATAGTATTTTTTTGGGCATAGAAATGCAGGATTCTAGTACAACTTGGAAGGTTGCAAAATTTTTATAGATCGTGGGAGACCCGCTTGTGTAGTTTCACTACAAATACATTTTTTAAAAACATAAGCACTTAATTTCTCGAAATGGGTAATACTCACAAAAAGGCGGGAAGCAGAGTTAAATTATCACCCGCAAAAGTGAGTTTCTCTCTAATAGAGAGGTCATTGTGACAAAAACTCCTTGTTATGCTTTAAAATTCGTTTCTCAGTATTACTGC